CAGAAGAAAAGTTATTCAAAAATATCTTGTACTTTTTTTTTTAGATTTGGTGGTTTCACCATTTCCACCAAGCTCGTAGAATAGGGGTCACCAACACGGTTCCCTCGGGCATCAGATAGCCCACAAGGACCACATGAGTAGCCTGCAGGCTTGTTCTAAAAATAACACAACTCACCAGTGAGCTGCGTCTAAAATTTGATATGCGTTTCTAATTAAATGTAATTATTTACCTTTTATACCGTCACATTAGTGAAATGGGACATTTTTCTTATGAAATGTTGTAGAAGTGATCATCTGAAAATTTAGACAATTGCTGAGATTAATAGAAATAAAGTGTTGAATATATATTATCTGTTTCCCATCTTGTTAAGTCATTGTTGATAATTATTGTGAGAAATCATTAATGTGATCAGTGTCTTCACATAGATGTGTATCATTTATCATTAATAATGATATATAACTAAAGGCAAACTGATCAAATGTGTTATTTCAGAAGAGTGTATCAAACTGGTTGCCCTTCGTATTACTCAGTACCACCAAGTAGCTCTCAGTCCTGCTTTAGAAGAAGAAGAATTTTCTGATACATTTTTATAAAATTCATCCATTAATGCATTTCTCTCAATTCAGAGAGGGAGAGAGAGAAATGGTTGAGCTGCAGTGTAAGATAATAATAAAAATGCACTATGTTGCACCTGAAAAATAATTAGGTTTTATTCCAAAAATTACCCATAATTAAAAGTTACACAATGCTCTTCAAAAAAAGAGTTGACATTTTTTTGTTGAGTTTTTGTTAATTCCTCTCTGTAAACTCCCGATGAAATCAATTAAGCAGTTCAACACCTTGACATCCTAGGTTATACATTATCCCTTGAATTAGATTCCTTTGGGTCAAATGAAAGGAATGATGGAAGCTGCTTTTTCACAGTTTCGGCCTTTTTTCAACCTTCAGGTTATAAAAACTTTACTTAGATTACTTATCGCTCTTATATCCTTAACTTATGACTTCAGTTTCTATTAATTACCCCTACATAGCAGCACATTAATCTAACAGACATCCGATTAAAGCATATGTCACCTATAACTATGACTATCCTACCAACCATGCCAGCCGAGGTAAGCAGCTTTTCCTACAGATGAGATATTGTTGTGATGTCCAAGACAGGCAATTATCAAGCTGTGCACCTACACCTCTCTGTGCTCTTCTGCCCAATCATTGCACCATCTGCCACGAGCTGTAAACAAGGACGCATTTGCCTTTTTCCAACCCATACACATTTAATTTGTTATTTTTTCATTATCAACACATCTTTAGAGTTATATCTGTGTGTGTGTGTGTGTGTGTGTGTGTGTGTGTGT